CGTCTGCCCAATGGGACAATTTCTATCAAGATGCCTTGCTATTTCTTCCTTGATAATAGACTCAAACATCTTCCCCACTACAGAGGTTAAGCTAACCGGTCTATAATTCCCCATCTTTTGTCTACTTCCCTTTTTAGACAGTGGCGTCACATTTGCTGTTTTCCAATCTGCTGGGACTGCCCCAGAGTCCAGCAAATTTTGGAGAATTACCGCCAGTGCACCTGCTATTTCTTCCGCCATCTCTTTTAGTACTCTGGGATGCATTCCATCAGGGCCAGGAGACTTATCAATCCTTAGCTCCATTAGCTTGCCCAACACTACCTCTTCCATAATAATGATTGTTTCCAGGTCCTCACCTACCTTCATCTCTTTGTCTTTTACTGGCATGTTATTAGTGTCCTCCACTGTGAAGACCGATACAAAATACCTGTTCAATGCCTCAGCCATTTCATCATATCCCATAACTAAATTCCCCTTCTCATGCTCTAAAGGGCCAACGTTTACTTTAGATACTCTTTTTCGTTTTATATATTTATAGAAACTTTTCCTATCTGTCTTTATATTCTGTGCTAGTTTTTTCTAATGTTCTATCTTACTTTTCCTTATAGCTCTTTTTGTGGCTTTCTGTTGACCTTTAAAGTTTTCCCAATCTTCTAGTTTCATGCTGTTTTTGGCCACTTTGTATGCCTTCTCTTTCAATTTGATAGCCTCCCTTATTTCTTTAGACACCCATGGCAGATTACCCCTTTTCTTACAGTCCTTCCTTTTCATTGGAATATACTTTTGCTGAGCACTTTGAAAGATTGCTTTGAAAGTCCTCCACTGCTCGTCAACTGTCCCACCATAAAATCTTTGTTTCCAGTTTACTTTAGCCAAGTCCTCCCTCATTCTATTGTAGTTCCCCTTGTTCAAGCACAGGACCCTGGTATTGGATTTTATCTTCACACTCTCCATCTGTATTCTAAATTCAACCATACTGTGATCACTCCTTCCAAGAGGATCCCTAACTATGAGGTCATTAATTATTCCTGTCTCATTACACAGGACCAGATCTAGGATGGCTTGCTCCCGGGTTGGTTCCATTACATATTGTTCAAGAAAACTATCACGGATACACTCAACGAACTCCTCCTCAAGGCTACCCTGACCGAGCTGGTTCGACCAATCTACATGTAGGTTAAAATCTCCCATGATAATTGCCGTACCATTTTTACAGGCATTAGTTATTTCTTTGTTTATTGCCCGCCCCAACGTATCTTATTATTTGGTGGCCTATAGACTACGCCTATCAGTGACTTTTTCCTCTTAGAATTTCTAATTTCCACCCAAATGGATTCAACCTCATTCTCCATAGAACCTATATCATCTCTCAGCACTGCCCTGATGGCATCCTTGAATATCAGAGCTACACCATCTCCCTTACCTTCCTGTCTGTCCTTTCTGGGAGTAATTCAGGAGACGCAGCAAAAATTTATCCCCAAGGAGAAAGAAACATGGTACAGGGAGGATGAGGCAACCATGGCTGACTAAGGAGGTCAGGGATAGCATAAAAGCAAAAGAGAAAGCATATAACATGGCGAAGGGCAGTGGGAAACCAGAGGACTGGGAAGCTTACAAAGACCAACAGAGGGCAACAAAAAAAGAAATAAGGAGGGAGAAGATTAAATATGAGGGTAAACTAGCTAGTAATGTAAATGAAGACTGTAAGAGTTTCTTTAGGTACATAAAGGGAAAAAGAGAGGCAAAAGTGGACATTGGACCACTGGAAAATGACGGTGGAGAGATGGTAGTGGGGAACAAGGAAATGGCTGAGGAACTGAATAATTACTTCGCGTCAGTCTTAGCAGTGGAAGACACGAGTAATATCCCAAAAAGTCAAGACAGTCGGGGGCAGAGCTGAGCATGTTGGCCATCATCAAGGAAAAGATGCGAGTAAAACTGATTGGCCTGAAGGTGGACAAATCACCTGGACCAGATGGACTACACCCCAGAGTTCTAAAGGAGATAGATGAAGAGATAGTGGAAGCATTAGTGGTGATCTTTCAGGAATCACTAGAGTCAGGGAAGGTCCCAGAGGACTGGAAAACGGCTAACGTGACACCCCTGTTTAAAAAGGGAGTAAGGCAAAAGACAGAAAATTACAGGCTGATTAGTCTAACCTCACTTGTGGGTAAGATTTTGGAGTCCATTTTAAAGAATGAGTTTGCTGAACATTTGGAAGTGTATAGTAAAATAGGGCAAAGTCAGCATGGTTTCATCAAGGGGAGGTCATGTCTAACAAATCTGCTAGAATTCTTTGAGGAAGTAACGAGCAGGGTAGACGAAGGAGAGCCAATGGACGTTATCTACTTGGACTTCAAGAAGGCCTTTGATAAGGTGCCACACAGGAGGCTGCTGAGTAAGATAACGGCCTGTGGTGTTAGAGGCAAGGTGCTAGTATGGATAGAAGATTGGCTGTCTGGCAGAAAGCAGAGAGTGTGGATAAAGGAGTCTTTCTCAGAATGGCAGCCGGTGACAAGTGGAGTTCTGCAAGGGTCAGTGCTGGGACCACGACTTTTCACTTTGTACATTAATGATCTAGATGAAGGAACTATGGGCATTCTGGTTAAGTTTGCAGATGATACAAAGATAGGTGGAGGGACAGGTAGTATTGAGGAGGCAGGGAGGCTGCAGAAGGACTTGGACAGGTTAGGAGAGTGGGCAAAGAAATGGCAGATGGAGTACAACTTGAGAAAGTGTGAGGTCATGCACTTTGGTAAGAAGAATAAAAGCATGGACTATTTTCTAAATGGGGAGAAAATTCAGAAGTCTGAAGTGCAAAAAGACTTGGGAGTTCTAGTCCAGGATTCTCTCAAGGTAAATTTGCAGGTTGAGTCAGTAGTCAGGAAGGCAAACGCAATGTTGGCATTTATTTTGAGAGGACTTGAATATAAAATCAGGGATGTACTATTGAGGCTTTATAAGGCTCTGGTCAGGCCACATTTGGAGTATTGCCTGCAGTTTTGGTCTCCATATCTCAGGAAGGCCTTGGAGCGGGTTCAAAGGAGGTTCACGAGAATGGTCGCAGGAATGGAAAGCTTAACATATGAGGAACTTTTGAGGACTCTGGGACTATAGAATCCCTTCGGTGTGGAAACAGGCCCTTCGGCCCAATAAGTCCACACTGACCCTTGAAGCATCCCACCCAGACCCATCCCCTTATAACCCACACACCCCTGAACACTACAGGCAATTTAGCCTGGCCAATCCACCCAGCCTGCACATCTTTGGACCATGGGAGGAAACCGGAGGAAACCCATGCAGACACGGGGAGAATGTGCAAACTCTGCACAGACAGTCGCCCGAGGCTGGAATCGAACCCGGGTCCCTGGTGCTGTGAAGCTGCAGTGCTAACTGCTGAGCCACCATGCCACCCCCTCATTGGAGTTTAGATGGATGAGGGGGGATCTAATTGAAACTTTCAGAATACTGAATGGCCTGGACAAAGTGAATGTTGGGAAGATGCTTCCATTGGTAGGAGAGTCTGGGACCCGAGGGCACAGTCTTAGAGTAAAGGGAATACCTTTTAGAACGGAGATAAGGAGAAACTACTTCAGCCAGAGAGTGGTGAATCTATGGAATTCACTGCCACAGAAGGCTGTGGAGGCCAGGTCATTGTGTACATTCAAGGCTGAGATAGATAGGTTCTTGATTATCAAGGGGATCAAGGGTTACGGGGAGAAAGCAGGAGAATGGGGTTGAGGAGCTTATCAGCCATGATTGAATGGCAGAGCAGACTCGGTGGGCCGAATGGCCTAATTTCTGCTCCTATATCTTATGATCTAAATAAGCTGTTGTTTGTTTGTATGGCCAGGCCTGAAAGTTAATTTCAAGTTGGTTCTTGATCAAAAGGTTCAACAGGTGATTTGACACCAGCGGAGAGTAGTATTTTTAAACAGAGAGCAGATATTTGGCCATTAACAAGGTCGGTACTTGGGATTTGGTTCCAGTGGGTCTGGGAGAGACTTTATGCTCAGGCTACAGCTATGAAACCCAAGCTTCCAGAAGCTGCTGCTGGAAACACATCCTGCACAGATGCTGGCCCTGGTGCTCAAAATGTATCCCACATCCCACATAGAACAGAAGGAACAAGCCACTGCTACGAGCTCTTCTGCCATTACTTACCCATTTAGATTAAACCTTTAAAGGGTTCTTAAAAATCAAACAATATCAATTACCTGAAGGTCCTTCTTCCCTTCAACCTTGTTAAAGCAGAATATAGTCCTTACAAATATACACCGGAAAATAAAGACTTTGCCAACTATAAGCAATAATTGTCGTACAAATACTCACCCAATCAGCAGCTTCTACTTGCCTTGTGCCACTTTTGATGCTGTCATTTATGACTATGTCTGGCTGTTGCTTGACTAGCTTGTCAGCCAGTTCTCACATTTTAGCAGAAATAGGAGGACTTTGAGAGTTAACTGGCATGAATATACCTTTATCGTTTCTAATGCTTTGGTTGATGTTGGCTTTATTCTTATTTACCTTCTTTATAGTTTAAGCATTTCAGACAGTATTTAAGAGTGAAACATACTGCTGGGTCTGGAGATTTCCAGACTGGGTCAAGACAGCAGATCTCTTTCTATGAAGCACATTTGTGAACCAAATGATATTTATGCCAATTCACAGGTCTGATGATCATCATGACTGAGACTAGCTTTTATTCTAAATTTTTGGTTTAATTTTTACCTTGATGTTCCAATTTTCAAGCAGGAAAGTTATGAAATTGTCAAATTTCATTTTGCTTCTAATAAGCACAGCACATATGTGATAATGACAATTTATTCAGTGATGGGGTGTGGGTATGCCAGAATTTATAGTCATCCCTTTTTGCTCTTGGGAAGTTACTGAATGAGCTGCCTTCTTGAACCGTTGCAGGTACACCCACAGTATTTTCAAAAATGATGTTAAGAACATGAAATACTTTCAAACGGGAAAATATCACCAATATCAATAGCTTTGTCCTTTTTTTCAAGCACCTTCAATGTTTTGTGCATCATCAGCATTCTCCTGGTGATTTTTTGATTGCCTCCAATGTAGCACCTTACGGCTCACATCCAAAACCATCTGGATTGTCCTGTTAATTGCATGCTGAATATCATCCAGATTTGGTACCATAACCTATAGCACAAAAGGAAATGTAGTGTGAGGGTTTAGAGTAATTTCAAAAATTGCAAATTTGCTTTAAAAAGACTGAACTCCGAGAAGTGTTTACCTTAACTGAGATTCATTCTAAAAAATTGTGTTTATGTCACAATTTTGCAGAACTACCCCCATTAATTGATAACTATTTACAAAACATAAAAAGCTGACAAACACTATTCATGTATAGGTAAAGTTGTTATCATCCCAGAGGATCATAGGGCCGCACTCTCAGTAGATAAACAGCTGGCAGTCAGTTTACCTTCAGAGACAGCACATCTCAGGTGAGGGATGTGGTTGAGAAGGCAGGGCCTTCATGGTAACCTCAACTAATGGGAGAATTGAACTCACATGGGTGGCTTCACTCCACATTACAGACCAGCCATCGAAGCTAACCGATCCCCATATTCATGCATATTGGCGTCAGGGCCACTTCTTGTCAAGCATTTTGCCTGTTATACTTCAATTCTTAGGTCATTGACATTTTAGAACATCACTCTCAGCACATAGCGTATGAACAGCATGGGATTTTGTTGAGGAGTTGCAATTAAAGGACAACTAACACATAAAGCCATCATGCAGGTGTTGCAATAACAGAAGAAATACTTCGCTAACTACATGCCAATTTATAGATGCAAGTCAAATCTTTTAAAAAGTTACCTCTGGATCTGCTGTCACAATCCACTCTTTCAGGCAATCCAATTTAGTATAGCTTATCTGTGATAGCACTTGAAAGAAAGCTATTCAATTGATCCTACTTTGTGCTTTACCCCATATATTTTCCGACTGTATATTCAATTTATGATTGAATATTACCTCGGGTCTCCTTCAATCAACCCTTTCAAGCAGTACAATACTGTATAAAATGTTTGTTCATGAGATGTGGGTATCATTGGCAAAGTTAACATTTGTTGTCCATCCCTGCTCCTGGCCAAGATGGCAGCTGTTAACCAGGATCTGATCCCAGGAAAAGGCCCCAGGGATGTAAATTCTGGACTTGCAGGTTGTAATTGAGCACATTAGAAAGGGAAGATTTGCAGTTGGGAACCTTAAGTCAAGCATCACATCAAGATCTCAGAGAGGCACCACCTTTATCATAATCAGAATATTTTCAAGTTTTGAATTATCGGGAGAAATTGTATATATGTTCTGTGTTTGGCCAAGGTTTCAGTCAGTCACCTGGCCTTAAAAAAAAGGGGCAGCACAGTGGCTCAGTGGTTAGCATTGTTGCTTCACACTGCCAGGGATCTGGGTTCAATTCCAGACTTGGGCAACAGTCAGTGTGGAGTTTACATGTTCTCCTCATGTCTGTGTCGGTTTCCTCCCACAGTCCAAAGGTATGTGGGTTAGGTGGATTGACCATGCTAAATTGCCCATAGTGTCCAGGGATCTGTAGGTTAGGTGGATTATCCATGGGAAATGTGGGTTTATGGGGATACAGTACAGGGGTGAGTCTGGGTGGGATGGTCTTCAGAGAGACAGTGTGGACTTGATGAGCCAAGTGGCCTGCTTGTGCACTATAGGGATTCTGTAATCCCTAACTGCCCTGAAGGCTATTACTGAGACAAGCTTCATATTCCAGATTTATTAATTGAACGCTACCCTGCAGATTGGAATTTAAACCTAATCTCCAGATATTTCGCAAAACATAGAACTGCGGTTGATGGACATGTGAAATGCACCAAAAATAGGAATAGCTGGAGAAACTCAGCAGGTCTGGCAGCATTTGTAAAGAAAAAAAGAGTTAACATTTCATGTCCAGTGACTCTTCTCCAGCAAATTCTGTTTTTGTGTGCCCCAGATCTTTGGGTTAGTCCTCTGGATTACTAATTAAGTAGCATTGTCTCCAAAATAGCACCCCCCAACGTGAATTCAAACAATGTGCCAAGTTTAGGAAACTTCCATCTTTTTAGTTTAATTTAGTCATGGGATGTGGTCATTGCTGGCTGGCCAGCATTTATTGTCCATAACTAGTTGCCCCTAAGGAGGTGTTTGTGAGCCTGCTGCGGTCCATGTGTGTACATAATGCTGTTTGGAAGGGAATTCCAGAATGTTGACCAAGTGACAGTGAAGGAATGGTGATATACTTCCAAGTCAGGATAGTGAATGGATTAGAAGGGACCTTGCAGGTGTTGGTGTTCCCATATATCTGCTGACCTTGTCCTTCTATATGGTAGTGGTCATGATTTTGGAAGGATATTTGGCAAATAAATGTCATGCATCTTTTAGATAGTACACACTACTGCTACTGGAGGGAATGGATGTTTGTGGATGTAGTGCTAATCAAGCAGGCTGCTTTGCCCTGGATGGTGTAAAGCTTCTTGAGCGTTGCTGGAGCTGTAATCATCCAGGCAAGTGGGGAGTATTCCATCACACAGCTGACTTGTACCTTGGAGGTGGTCGCTGGATTTTGGGTGTCAGGAGCTGAGTTACTTGTGGCAAGATTCCCAGCTTCTGACCTGCTCCTATAGTCATTATCAGAAATCATACGATACCAGGTAACCTTTCTGACCTTGTCTACCCCAGTCCAACACCTGCACCTCCACGTTCTAGTCATTATATTCAGATGATGGGTCGAGTTCAGTTTCTGGCCAATGATAGCCTCCAGCGTGTTGATCATTCGGATTCAGTGATGGTATTGTTAGATTTGCTCTTGCTGTAGATGGTTATTGCCTGCCACTTGTGTGGCGTGAATGTTACTTGACACTTGAAAGCACTGGATATTATCCAAAGCTTGTTGTATTTAAACAACTCTTAGACACCTTCTCCTACCGCCCCCTTGATCATGATCCCACCCCCGAGCACCAAACCATCATCTCCCAAACCATCCACAACCTCATCACCTCAGGTGACCTCCCACCCACGGCCTCCAACCTCATCGTTCCCCAACCCCGCACCGCCCCCTTCTATCTCATTCCCAAAATCCACAAACCTGAATGCCCTGGTCAACCCGAGATAGTAGGAACTGCAGATGCTGGAGAATCCGAGACAACAAGGTGCAGGGCTGGATGAACACAGCAGGCCAAGCAGCATCATAGGAGCAGAGAGGCTGACGTTTTGGGCCTAGACCCTTCATCAGAAAAGGGGGAGGGGAAGGGGGTTTTGAAATAAATAGGGAGAGAGTGGGAGGCGGATAGAAGAGGGATAGAGGAGAGGATAGGTGGAGAGGAAACAAACAGGTCGAAGAGGCGGGGATGGAGCCAGGAAAGGTGAGTGTAGGTAGGGAGTTAGGGAGGGGATAGGTCAGTCCAGGGAGGACGGACAGGTCAAGGGGGCGGGATGAGGTTGGTCAGTAGGAGATGGAGGTGCGGCTTGA